ACTCTTCAGTATGAGGGAAGACTTCAGCCTGGTGTATTGGAAAGAGTTGCTGCAGCAGCTGTTGTGGCTGTTGCTACAAATGTTTATTCCCAAACCAGAACTGAGGGATCAGGGAACCTCAAGAAAACTAGCCCTGTATCTTCTGGCCAGGGCACTGGGCTCTGTTAGCAAAACCCACTTTGAGGGTGTTCCTTTTGGACCTGCAGGTCCAATCTGCTCCACACAGCAAGAAGAACATGCTACACGGGTCTCAGGGACCCTCCCCACCCCTCAGTCATCTTCCCATTTGCACCTGGATCCCAATGAGCTCCTTAGCCTGGTGCTTGCTGAGGGTACTCCAAACACAGCCATTACAAACCAAAAAATACAGGGTTAGTGATCAGAAGGAGAGTGGGGTTTCCAATTTGATTTTCTATGACAGCTAGAAGTTAGTTCAAATAAACCTACTTCAAGTCTCAATTACAATTGACTGCTGCCAAACCGAAAACTCACCTGTACAGCACTACATCCTAATTTTTGTTGTGTGTCAACCACATTATAATGAAACTATAGGTGAATGTCTAGCTCGTTTTAGGAGCTTTTTCTTTACAAATACCCATTTTTTCCCCTAAAACATTAGTAACCTTCTCATCATACACAGACCCTAGGTGTATGATAATTTGTTTATAGACATAAAAACTTATAAGCTTCTACTTTCAAGACTTTTCTTCCTCATGATCTATGAACATGTTTGAAATGGCAAAAGACTGTCCCAGTACATTTGTGTATGGCTCAGCTCTGTCCCTATGGACTGATCTTTGAATGAGAGTGATAGATAACATTCTTAAATGCACCAATGAAATATTTTTTAAGGCAAGAAAGCAGTGAAACACAACCCACAAAGAGTAAATATATCTTAGTTTTGAAAAATAAGAAGATACCACAGGCATTTAACTTTCTCCATGAAGATCACCCCTTCAAAACCACTAGGGTTTTGAAGTATCTAACTTTGCTCCTCTCCATTGTCTCATAAGATAATCAGAACTGGCAGTTTAACATATCCATCAAGAATCCAGCTTCCTCCTAAGAGAAGGTATCTATTGATTGAAAGGTGATTTTTAACTTTACCTATGTGCAAAAGATCCAGGTGGCCTTAGCAGCAGCAGCTTCCCTCCTGGACACAGTCTCTGTAGCTGTGGACATGGTATATGAGGATTTTAATTCTGAGCAGAGCTTTGTTCAAAAATGCTCTCTAGACAACAGCTTATGACAATCCATCTATCCTTTCTTCTACTGTTAACCTGCCATTCAGTAGGGAACTGCAAACGAGAACAGTTAAGTGGAAGGGACAGCTGAGAAAGTATTTAGAACATTCAGAAGTGGTATCAGGTAATGACAGTTTCAGTGTTTGTTTGTAACATTTTACTTAGCACAAAAGAGTCATTCTGAGGATATAGAAAATGCCACAGATGTTCTTTGGAAACTTGTATTCCAAATGATACATCAATATTTTGCAGTTTTTATGATGTCCTGGCCAAGAGGAAGGACTGAGTTGCATTAGCTTTAGTACAATACGACGGTTCCTGCCTCCAAGATACTTAATGAGTCATTAAATTATTGAACAGACAGGCTACCAAGAAAACCAAAATAAACCCCACAACAACAACGAAAAACCCAAACTACAGGGAAAGGGACTTATTTGGTTTTGCTTTTGAGAATCAGTGTAATAAATGAGAAATATCTTGTCAGTTCTAGTAGCAAATGCCAACTATTTTGCCTGCATGAATTAAAATTGCTGGCAAGATTAAGAGAGAAAAGTGTTTCTAAAGAACTGTTCTGGCTTGATCCAATGAATATAGGAGGGTGGCTTATCTCTGGAATCTAGTGGGATTTTTTTACATTTCAGGGAAAAGAGGATGGCATTTTCTTGTAGCACTCCTATGCCTTCCCTATAAAGTGCTTGTCTGTTGGATGCAAACGAGAATACAAGATCACCATCCCTGTGCCTGCTTTCCCCACCTTCAGGACAGCTCAGACAAATTGCTTGGGGACAAGCAATTGGTCACAAATTCCAGTATACAGAGATTGCCACTTTCTTCTTTGCCTGGAGATCTGGAAGCAGACTTCCGAGGACACGCCTACTTTTTTTGCTCACTTTTGCATTTTCCTGAGGTCATCTTCCTTTTTGAAGGTTGCAAACCCCTTTTCATCACTCAGTTTGACACTGATCTTCATTGTTACTCAAATTACTTTAAACACCAAAGTTCTTGTCCTGCTCAGAGTAAACAGGCATTTTCTGTAAGCATTTCTTCATGACTATAACTTGCCATCCCAAATCAGCTATTGCATGGGCACACCAGAATTTGGAGTGCACCATTAATCAACATGGAAGCATGATATTCTGCAAAACCTCTGACTGAATAATGCTCACAAAAATACCTGTTTATGGTACATTGTAGAGAGAATAATGTCACATTTATCATTGAAGCAGCTGGAATGAATAGGATGATTTCATTGATTACTTGAATCAATGAGATGATTGCTTTTCCTCCTACAACTCCCATTGCATTCACAGCGTCCTGAAGCTATCACAAAGACCAATTCCTTTCATAATAGCAACGTTACCAATCTAATCTAATAAAGAGCCATCAGCCAGCAGAAAACTACAGCAACAGGCTTGTTTCTTGATGAAAGGTTACAATTTTTCTATAAATTTGTCTGTTAAATTCCAGGCTATCTCCTGCTAGCTAAGTGCCCTTGTGCACATTACTATTGTTTCATGCAAGAGCACAAACCTTTGAGCACTACCTTTGAGAAATTCCATCAGGCCCATGCCTCACTATGTCTCATGTTTGAAGAAACATGTTAAGTGTATTGGTTGAGTCTTAAGCTCCCTTCCATAGAGAAAAATGAAAAGTGACAATCAGCCCAGAAACAAAGAGACAGAGTTAATGAAATGAACTGATTTTAGTCCTGGCCCAGAAATTGTATCCAAATTTTCAAAATCTTAATTTAAAGTGTAAGGCTTTTTCAGCATATGGTGAATATTCAAATATACATGTATATATATACACATATATATGTATACAAATATGTATGTATGTGTACATATATTTAACTCAAATATTTGTATCTGACTTTATGAAGCATTTAATTCCTTTAATCACACTAGAAAATGACAATTCTAAACAAATTTTCCCTAGTAGTAGCACTACACCACTAAGAATGACATGGTGGACTCTTTCCAGACTGCCATATTGTAATTGTGATGATATAATTGCAAACAAGAACAATGTGTAATCACAATATTGAGTACATCGCCTAAAATGTTCAAAACTATATTTCTTAAACAGCTGAGATAACGTATTAGCTAGGAAAAGGGAACATTCAAGCAAGAGCCCTGGCTATTCTCACAGCATGGGCACAGAAACAAATTTGGAGGGGAAGCTAGAATGGGGAATACAACTACTGAACAAATGGATACCTGCAGCAAGGAAGTGATGTTAGTGTTTATTTTATATTTGTTTAATAACCTACAGTCCTGAAAAACCATATGTCAAATCAGATTTGGAATTCCCAACTCTCACAACTCATGAAAGAAGAGCAGCTTTACATTTTTCCTACTAGGCAGCCACAGCAGGCTCAAAGCCTCCAACCTAAGAAATACAGATTACAATTTTCTTATTTAGTAGGTTTTAATAAAAGTATCTGTCTAGCATGAATGTGGAAGGCATTAATATTTATGCCCAGCTGAAAGAGGGCTGTTCGTCACATAATGCCATTCTTCCACTGAACACCTTAATCTCCCTAGTCACTACCACTCATATTTTTTTTTAAATTTAACTGCCTTTCTTGCTGTGACCTGTTTTCTAGAGAGCACATACTCAGCTAAAGCTGGAAGATCTAATAAAAACTATAGCTATGATTCATTAGAACAGAGATACATCCTTTTTATTTGAAACATAACACATCAGGGCTTCTTCTGGCATTTATTTCTAAATGGAAATGCTAGATCTGCTTAGCCAGGCTAGTTTAAGCCCACCTCAAACTGTAAACTAGTTATCCTTATTACAGCATCAAAAGCTCATTATTTTCCTCAAAACAGGCTGGAGTAATTCAATTCTTATCTCTTACACAATAGGCATATATTCCACAACATTCAATAAAAATTGGATGGGAATAGCTCTGCAAATCTGATTTTTGACACATGTGAAACACTGCTCTACCTCTGTGGATTTGCTTGCTGTTTCTGAAGCCTCACCAAATGCAGTAACTTAAATTATAAAGCTGAAGCCAGTGGGAGGAAATGCCTTTGTGATTTTCCCAATCAGCTCGGTGCCAGACATGCTCATCTCTGCTTCAGCACCTGGTTTCAGCTCAAAGACTTTTGACTCTTTAACCTACTGCAAAAGATTATTTACCTTTATTGACCAGCAGCAGCTCATAGCCTACACGAAGTGTATCCATCTCTGTGAACCCTGGGATGATCAGGAGTTCTTCCCATCCAGCAGCCCCAGCAGAGCACTTTGAGGTGAGGAATTGTAAATGCAGGCGAACCCAATGGGAAGAAATGACGATGTCTGACTCAATTCAGAAGGCTGAATGATTTCTTTATTATAACTGTGCTAAAATACATTAATATACTATATAAAAGGAAGATACTAAAACTACATACTACTTTCTCTGGTTCTAACTCAACTCGTGACCCTCTCGCTCTAGTCCAGACACAGGTGGATTGGATTGGCCATCAGGCTCAAACAGTCCTCACCAGAATCCAATCAAACAATCACTCCAGGTAAACAATTCTCCAAACACATTCCACATAGGAAAAACAAGGAGCAGAAATAGAAATAGTTTTCTCTTTCATTTCTCTCTGTGCACCTCTGAAAAATACTGAGAGTGAGAGAAATGTGCTTGCCACAGTGAGGCTCATGTGCTGTGCTCCTCCTCACTGCAGGAAAGCTGCTGAGCACTCAGGGGAGCTGTGGGAGCAGGTTCCAACCATCCTGCATGGGGACAAGATGCTGCTGCCTGGAGCAGTGGCGTGCAGAGGAGGCAGCCTGATCCACAGCAGCAGCAGGATCCTGGGAGAAGTTTGCAGCAAGGTAAGCCAACACAATGTCTTCTTGCAGGGATGCAGCAGGAGCTGGGATCTTTCTTCCTTCCCAAGAAATGCAGTCTTGCCTCTCAGTATGACTCAGAGCTTGTCTTCATTTCACTGGCTCCCAGTTAAGTGGTCTAAGTTACACCTTGTGGGGCTCCCAAACTTCCAGAATACATGCATTGTCCCCAGCTCCCATGACAAAGAGGCTGTGGATTAGGAATGGAGTTATTGGATGTGTTTTGGCAGGGGACTGGGAAAAAGTTTCTGTCTGGTAAAGTCAGTCCTTTACATCTCCCACTGTTGAGCTGCATCCTTGGCCATATGTTGCCACATGGAGAGCACAGATCCTTAGTGGCTCTAACACAGCAATTCTTTCACATTATTTAATAATTGCTCCTTGAGCCTGTGTTTGACCTGCCTTTAGAAGGCCTGTCTCTACTACTTCTCCTAAAGATTGCTTATATGAGTTGTACAGAAGCCTTCATCTCCACAAAGTTGGGTTTCTTTTAAAAAAACACCTCTTTCCTCGACCCTGCAAAAGGCCATTGGTGTCAGACTGTGAACTGCACACATTAGAAAACAAACTTACTATACACAGAAATCAGAGCAAACATAACTACTAAAAAAGGCTCCATTAAATCTTTTGTCATGGGACATCTGAAGCTTTTCTCACATAAATGAGCATCTTTCCACTTGCTGCACTAAGAGCTGGATCAAGACCTTGGTTTTTGTCCAAGTTTTCAAGTGCAGCATTTCTCCAGAACAGTCACCTGTGTTTCAGGGGAGAGAGCAAGTCCCAAGAAAAGAAGGAAAGTGGAAGGAATTCCATCACATTACCCCACTGATAACCAAACTCCCTACAGCAGAATTAACAGATTCAAGCTAATCAACAGTTCCAGTGCATCTAGCCCTCTGGTCCAGTTTAAATAAGTAGCCACTGCTGCTGCTGTTTGCATGGCATTTCAGTCCAGTGAAATGCTTCTCTAAGCTGCTTTTGGGAAAGCAGATGTAAGCTCCTCACACACTTAGATGTTTCTGAAAATCTACCCTGTTCATGTTAATTAAAAGGAGAATAACTCTCATTACAGATCCTAATTAGCACTAGATTCGGCAGAGGGTATCATGTATGTGATGTTTAATGAGTATGAGGCAGATGTTACTCATCTCACTTAACATGCAGCTGGCAGAACTTCTTCTCACAGAGTACTATGGTGAAAAAGAACCAGCTACAATAATCTGTGCTTTTCAGAAGTATTTCTGGCTTGCTGGTTTGGGGTTATTTTTTGTACCCTTTGCCACTAATTCCTGAAGATCCAGCTCAATTTTTGTGGAACTAGAAGAGCCCCACTTTTTTTCTGGGACTGCTGCATGGCTATCAAAGAAGAAGGCAAAGCTGCAAGAGGTTATTTTTGTGAAGTAAAAGGGATAGAACACCTCGGAGCCAGGCAAATGCTAGTTGACAGAGGTACACACAAAATTGCTACTGCCCATCTCAAAATTTTCTCCAAATTCTTTGTGGTTACAGCTGTGCCCTATGACTGCCAGCAGCATTAAAAAGTTATATCATAGGTATATCTGTCTGGTGATTGAGAGCAAATAAATCAGCCAAACAATAAATATCAGCCAAAAATTCTCCCTTTCAACGGGCTGCTCCCCTGTCAGAAGAACCTTGTGGCTGTTGTGGTGGCCGAGCATTAGTAGCAGCAGGCTGTGCCTGGCTGAAACCCATCCATCATGGCAAGCAGTCCCTCAACTCTTCAGCACTGGCAGCAGTAAAAGAGCATGCTATTAAATATGAATATCTTATGGTGTTAAGCTGCCACACTCTATAAATAGCAAGGCATTCATTTTAATAATTTTATTGGAATACGGAAGCCTGGAAATATCTTGCTTTGGGATTTGAATATTTATTGCCTTTTGCAAAGTTCTACTGATTGGTAAGCTTCCCTAACTGGTTAGCTGCTTCTTCTATCAAAAAATCATTTTATTTTTCTCAAGTACTGCAGAAATCTACTGTAGAAGTTGCAAACAAAAAGACATCTGCAACTTAGGCTTTATAAGAAAAATACATTTTTAAAACTGGGTGGAATTTTGTGTGGATTTAGCCAAAAGGCTCATTTTTTTACTAATGTAGTTAACTGAAGGATTTATAACAATTAATGAAAATAAATTATAATAATCCTTTGACAGTCTTTCCTGGAACATCAGTTATTCTTCTGAGTGTTTCTCTCAGCAACTACGAGATGCAGCTGCACTCACCTTGAAAATTGTGTTGATGCTTGCTCAGATAAGCGATTCTGCATTAAAGTGACAAAGAACTACAGTTAAAATCTGTGGAGGAAGAGAGCAAGAGAAGCCACAAAGTTTCATTTCTACTGTAGGATTTTGCTTTCTTTGTTGCTTTTTCTCTCCCCATTCTCTTCCCTTTAGTCAGGTCTTGCAGGAGGGCCTTAATCAGTTACCTGATTGGCAATTGCCACTCCAGAATAAAACATTTTTCTAAAGGGTGGCTCAGTTATCTCCTAGCCCCCCCCACGAGGCTACAAGTGTGTGCAGAGGCTCTGTACTGACCTTTTCAGAAAGACATGCTAATTCACCTTCTGCATTTGTGATGAAGGCTTCCTCAAATTTTGTAGCAGAGGCAGTGTGTTCTTCAGTGCCAGTCATGGGAAAAGGCTGGCTTCAGGTTTGCAACAAACTTCGTTTCAATGCAGCTACTTAATAAAAAGATTTTTATGCATGCCCTGCACCCCTGTAGATTTGCCCAGCATTGTTCCTGGGTTCAACCACGTGCTCTACAGAGCTGGTCAGAGACACAAGTATTTAACAATGATACCAAAGAGTGCAGAGACAAGGAGAAAACCACTGCTCCTCTTTTCTCTCCATTTTATTTGGAGGAAAGAACAAAATGGAAGTGTACAACTCTAATAAGAAAGAAAAAAACATTTTCCTTCTTACACAAGAAAATTACACAACTTGGTTTAGTAGCTACTTTGCAACATACCCTGTTTCCTGCCCTTTAATACTCAAGGGACCACAGAAATCGGAGTGCTTTTGGTGAGCTAAGACGACTTAATGGTAAAGGAGAGTGCTACATTTCACAGGAAGACAAGGGGGTCAAGAATAACAGCTCTTTTTCCAATTTCATATCGGTTTCTAACTGGGGAGGAAGGACCATTAAGGATACAAAGCACATTTTCCCTGTCCCAGATGCAATGTTTTTTCTATTTGCTCTCTGCAGATTTCCCACTCCAAGAGCAGCCTTATCCTCGTAACCATGGAAACCACTCATGGCAAATTCCCTCAAAATGCAAAAGCAGAAGGATGGAAAGGAACAAATATTTTAAGAAGGTTGCAATGAAGAGAAAGACAGCTTCCTGTCTTCATAAATGCAAGACAGGATAAAAATCACAGTATCCTCATGCTTAAGGGCTTGCCATTAAGGATTGGCAACCTTCCTCACTGGACAGCTGGCATCAAAGTCCTCTGTTTCATCTTTAACAGTGCTGTTGTACTCTGTGAAGATTTGCACAGTGTCAAACCTTTTCTGAAGATCTGGGAGATCAAAGGACACAACAATGAATTTCCATGGCAGTATCTGACAACCTTGCATTATGCCTAGGGCAGATGTGCTTTGAATTCAAAAGAGTCACTTTATTTCAAAAATAAAAAGTAAAGATACGAATGAAATCAGAAAAGGTAGAGCTATATCTGAGCATACCTTGGTCCACCTAGTTTAGTTTTCTGTTTCCAACAGCATCTGTAAATGAGGAAAAAACTAGTGCCACTTGGAAGATGCTTTCACAGTAATATTCACCCCAGCCTTAAGGGACTCCCTGAGTTTTCTGTAGTTTATCTAGATAATAAGACTCAAAGAAGCTCTATTCCAAACACTTTTTCAGGCTCCTTTCCAAACCATCCTTTGGCAGACAGTACAACAAGCCTCATTGACTTCACAGGAACAGCCACCTCCTGTTTGCATTGAGCCTGCCTCTTACTACTGTCACTTGATGGGCCACGGTTCTCATGCAAGAAGAAATAAAAAGAAGTCAATCTCTATTCCCCTCTTCTGTGTCACTCATGATTTTGTATATCTCTATCACACCATCCATCCATCCTTGGAAAGGGACAATGTATATTTCCTACTTAACTGTTCCTTGAAAGGTATCATCTCATACCTTTGCTTATATGAATTACCTTTCTTCAGACTTCCTCTGTTGTGATATATTCGAGAGGAGAGGAACAAAACTGCAATGGTGGGGTGTGACCCTTGGAGTCACGATTTTTTATCCCTGTTCTCTTTCCACAAAGATCTTTTATTCCATTGCTACTGAGTACTAGCTGATGGTTTCATGGAACTATTACAAACCCACAGTTTCACTCTTACATAAGAATAACGAAGTGCTAGCTCAGCATATTATATGTGAAGCTAGGATTGATTTTACTCAGGAGTTACATTTTACCCAGGAATTTCATTTGCTATTTTACTATCCATCTCTCAAATTCAGGGGATCAGTCTTCAGCCTACCCTTGAGCTCCCCCAGAACACTTGGGTAATTAGTACAAGCCCTGGCAATCTGCTAATTTTCATGTTGTTTATTTGTACTTCAACCTGTTCCAGAATTACTTCCAATTTCAGGCTGAGCATTTGCTGAATTACTGCTAAAAAGAATGGCATAGGGGATCTCCCCAGCTTCTTCTACAGTAAGCAGACACAAATTATTATGTCTGCAGCTGTCTTACCCACATGGCTAACAGATGACCCTACTGACCTTCTGGTGAAAGTTTTGTTCTTGGTGTTAGGCCCTGCAGCCTCTCCTCCCCCTCCAAGGGCTGTTCAAGGCTGGCTCTGAGATGGTGCAACTGTGTGACCTGACTGCTGGGAGCCCAGCTGGAAGAAGCCTTGCTGGGGCTCTCTGCACCTTCCAGTGCATTTAGCTCAAACCCTTGCTCTTGGTCCCTGCCCAAGCTATGATGAAGATGGCCCTGAGTCCACTCTTGCCTATCACAGACCCAAATATGACCCAATAATTGAACTTCCCAATTCTGCACCTCCTTGTCACAACAAACTCACGTGTCCAGCTGGACTCCTGGCTGCCCCTGGACACCATCACCCAGCCCACTCTGTTCTCTCTGCGTGGGACCCACTGTGAGGTCACTGTCCTACTTTTCTTCACCTTCACTCCTGGCTCCCTATACCCCATGCAGCATCCTCAGCCACATTACTGCTTGGCAGACAGGCTGGAGAGAGAACCAAGTCCTTTTCTTATCTGATTCTCATATTTATATTATATTATCATCATAAATTTCAAATCCACAATGGCCAAACCTGAGGAATGGTTTTGGAAAGAGATGTGGAGAGGAGGAAAAAAGGGACCTCCAGTTTATTCTGGTGTTAGGAGAGAAGGCTCAGCTGCTGCATACACCACACACTATCCTCGTGCGTGACCTCGGTCTGGCTGTTTAACTGCTCCCCGTCAGCTCCTCTTGCTCTTAAAGGGGATTAAACTTTTCTCCTGAGAACAAAAGAATGCTCTCTCCTTCCTTCCTTCCTGTAACAAATAGCAACAGCCCTGACTACAGCTAGGAAAACTTGGAAGATTGCCATTAACTTTAGCAAGTCAAGAAAGAGGTTTCATTTACAGGCCATAGACAAGATGAACTTTCCTGTAGAAAATCTACCAAAAAGATAATGGTCCTCCTCCGTGTTCAACATGCATAAACAAACTAGCATGTGGCTGGACATCAGATATTCCTAACCCTTGTCAAGATAGACTCAAACTTGAAGAAAACAGCTTTTCATGCTGAAGCAGCTAAAATTTACTCATTAATATATATAATATTGTGTCAATGTAGCCAGCTTGTAGCCTCAGCTAGCACATCTTCCCTTTTAAAAATCTGTATTTTGGCAACAATTTTACTATGCCAATCAACAAAGGAGACGGCATATAGTTTCCTACTGACTATGCTTTAGAAAATTCTCTTCTACAATACTAATTATTAAATGGCCTTCAAAAAGAATGCTAATGCAGTATTGATAATTCTGTGTTGAAATATATACAGAAGTATAAAAAGTTAAAAAACAAAAGTCAATCTAAGCTCTATTGCCATGTCTCAGCAAGCTATAAGTGAAGAGCAAGGGGAGCAGAAGCAGGAAGAGCACCTCAGAAAGACAGGCTTTCAAATCAGCAAGTTTTATTGGTATAAACCTTCTTCCCTGATATTAAAATATCTTATAATTTCTCCTGATTCTATATAAAAAAACTAATTAAGTTTTATGGTGCTTTGCATTTTAAATTTTATTTTTTCCCCCTTCTGTCCTTCCTTTTTCTTTTGTTGCAGCCTTCTTGGTGGTAGTGACAGGAGAACAGCAGCGAGAACAAAAAAGCAATACAAACATCAGGTGGAAAGAAAAGAAAAATCAGAATATATCTTATAATAAAACTGTTCAGGATAAGAATTGCCCTAAGAAAAGCCTTGCCATAATGACATGTATAGAAATATATGGAAAACCAGGCCAGAAGGCTGAAAAAAACAATTATGATTGTTTTAAATGGCAATGATTTTAGTAATGATTTTAGGAACATAGTAAATCTTCTGAAGGAAGACTGTATTAAAAATTTGACCTTTTCTCCCTCCCATCCATATAATTTCCTATTAATATAACCAAACCCTATACAACTTTTGGCTCCTAAAGTTTGCATCTGCTAATGTTTAGCTCAGCTTCCTAAAATAATTACCTTAAATCAGAGTCCAGTACCATCTCTAAGATTAAGCAGCACTGGTATTAACAGGGTAGAATGAAAACAAACATGATAATTGTCTCACTTTCAGCTTTTAACATTAATCCTGCATTTGAATGTTCTGTCTTTGCTTCTGAACAGGGAACTTCATACAGCATCCACCCAGAGTATGGGAAAGGTTATTGATGATAGTAATTACAATGGATCACAAGACACTCTGCAGCTCTGAATATTAAATGGAATAAAGACTTGGAATCCTGGTCTAAAAGGTTCTCAGAAAGGGCTTTTTCTACATAAATGCCTCAGACTACATGAACCTAGGACACAGGCCACAGTCAAAGGAAGTGGGCCTAAGGGGTCAGTATTTTTCATTGCATGTCATATCCTTTCTCCTAGGTCCTTGCCATTCAAAAGGTTTAAATTGCTGCACTGGATCTAAAGAGAGATATACAAAATCCTTACCTTAAATCTGCAGGCTGTTGCATGAAAGGCAATGCATTTAAATTGGGTGAGCAGCAGATCCTGCTACAGGACCTGTGCTGACGCTAATTTAGAGGAGAGTTACTTGGGAATAGCTTGGTATATAAATACCATGCTGGATTGCGCAGAGCACATCTCAAGTCCTGATCTAAGCAGAAATTCAATTTCACCACTTCTTGAAGTGTAGCAACAGCCAGGTGGGAAGCTGCTTTTCCCACCTGGGAAATCACTGCTATGCTCTAGACAGCTTACTACAGGCTTTAATTGCTCAGAGTCACACTTCTTCCAGATGTGTGCCATGCACATCTGCTTTAACCAGGAATTCGACATCGAGGAGTGCTGTAGGTGTCTGTGTGTCTAATCTGCAGCAGTTGTAAGCAGTGGACAGCTATTTTTAGCACAGCAGTCCCATAGGATGTGTGTTAGGCTGGAGGCTGCTTCAGCAACCAGAACGATAACAGGACTGTACACAGCGAGCATAATTTCCCTCTTCAGGCTAATTAAGTGTATTAGGGGAGGCTTCCAAGTGAGAGCATCTAACTGCATATAGAATGAAAGATATTCATTTGCCTTTGCAGCTATTAATGAATCACCATTTAGATGCCTAATAAACTTGCACGTTAAATTCTAATAGCCTCCTGCTTCCTTCATTAACCTGAACCATTCTATTGATGAAAACCCCTATTTTTATACTAGGCACTACAGTGCCTGATACTCCCTGATCAGGCTAAAAACCCTGAGCCTGAATCTGCAATCTCAGAGCCACCTAAAGTGGTAATTCCATCTTTTCTATTTATCATGTCCATTTAACTGCTCTGCACCTTTCCTTTGACTCACTGAGATATACATTTCTCTGCCCTATTGCATGCATCATAAAAATCCTGTTTGGCATGATAGCCCTATGGAAAATAATGTCTGTTTTCCACTTAAATGCCTGCAAGGTCTTAAGCCAAAGCCCCATAGGTTCACAATATATTGCCACAGTATCTGTTACTGTATCCCTTGACTGGCATTCTTTGCTCCTGTTCTGCTGGTATCTGCTTACACCCATTAGCAGCCAGCCTTTTCTCCCCTCAGTCATGCATCTAATCACCCATCCTCCACAGCTGGCCTGCCACCTTCATCATTTCTCACGTTGTTAAGCACGAAGGAGACAAATTGAATTACAAGTCTTCTGACAGCTCAGAAGCTGCAGTTCCACACCTTTCAGTGCGGATTGGGTAAATGTCCCTGCTGTCTCCTCAACTTGAGGAATGGGACTGTCAGCCCTAAACCCAAGGATGTTATGATATTAAGTAGAAATGAGAAAAAAATTGCTCTGAGACACTTACTGCTTGCACATTCAACATGCCCAGCACCAGTGGTCGTGCAGGCTCCGTGGTGATGCTACACTTATCAAATACCTGACCTCCTCACAGGTCTTCTGCCAGGGAACACCTCCACTCGTCTACTGGCAATGATCATATTTATCACCTGGAACCACAGGTTATATGACCAATAAAGGTTCGAATTTGTGATTATTATAATGTCAGCTTGTTTATTAGATTAGTTATTTACTAACTCTACAGAAAGAGGGTGCCAAATAAGTAAATTCAAGTGAACAGCCCATTGACTTCTAAAAACAGTTGGAATCAGAGAGGAAACACAAGGAAATCCTCCAGCTATCAAAGCCTGTAACTTGATTATTTTTGGAAACTACATGTGACTAGATTATGTTATTTTATTCTAAAACCTAGGGCAACATTAATTTATCATAAATACCAATGCCACATCAGTGCTCTCTAGCAGCTGAGCCATCAAGCAGCTATACTTTCCAGAACAAGCTAACTATACTCTTAACTCACATGCTATAAAAAGAATATATCCCCAGGCATACAGTCTTTAGGCATTTCTGGAATGTATTTCTCTAAAACAGGAAAAATCATGCTAATATCAGGAATTGCTTGTAAAGATGAGGCTTATCATAATAAGCAAAGCAGGGAATCTCACTGTGAATGAAGCAGGGTGGTCATCAGTCACCCAAGTGAGCATCAGGCATGACATATCTCATGTCAGAAGGCAGCCCAAGGAATCCCTGCAACAACTCAAGAGTAGGACTAGAGGCAGCCACTCTTGTAGTCCACCTTAAAAATGCTAAAGTCCTGGATGGAGCTGAAAAAGAGCCCTTGGTTGGAGGGTGTGGGTGAGGTCCCAGCTGAGGTGAATGGTCAGGGCAATCCAAGCCTGTGAGGGCCCTTATGGCCATCACCTGCAGCCATCTGGATTTTTAATCCGACACATATGGGCATGAAGCATGCCTGGTAAGGTGCATGTGGGAATAATTGAAACAGAAGCTGAATTCCTAAACCATTTACATGAGCTGTGCAGTGCTTTGAAGTGGCAACCACAATCAATTTTGTTGCTGCAAAATACCTGTTTCCATAAGGTTCAGCATATTTACTTTATACAAAGGCACCTGATCATACCAGACATCTCCTTCTTTCAACAAAACCAGCCAGGGCTGGTAACATTCCTTGCAGGATACTGGGTGAGGAACATTATGATTCAGCACCCAGACAGTGCCAGACCAAAGCTTTCTGACAAAGATGAATTATTTCAGCTTCAAGACTAAAACTATTCCTGGAGACGTCCTCTGTTTGCATTACAATCCTTCATTTATTTCTCATTCCTTCTCCTTCCAAGCTATCCCTGTGCCTTCTGCCCTCCCTTTGACATACACCCACTGCTTGTTTTCCTCTCTGAAGGTCACTTTGAGATGGCTGGATGCACATGTGCTATCACTGTGCTCAACCACTGAAGCCAGCTCCCATAAGACAAAGGGAAACTTGGCAAAATCTGGGACATTTCTCTTCTGAAATAAGCCCATGTTCATTCAAAGGTCATGGAATCTGTTCAACTTAATTTTAATGGCTACAATCCCTATTTTCCCAATAATAGGCAATGGTTGTTTTGCTGGTGGTGGTGCTGATGGTGTTTTTTTTCCATTTTACATAACAAAGTTGGCTTCTGGTACATGTAATTATTTCTATTTCCAGCCTGCTCAGTACAAGGTGATACAGCTAAACAAAATTACTTGCAGATGGTTTCCAAGTTGAACTGCAATGCCAAATGAAGCTACCTTACTAATGGAAATTATCAAAGCTGCTTGGAACCCCCAGAATGCTGGAGGAATTTTAATGTGACTGCACAGAGAATTGTAGAGAGGACTAGTGGCTCCAAGGAATTGAGAGCCTCCCGTGAGTTGCCAAGGGGTCCAAAGGAAGCTCAGTACCTCACAGATCTTAAGAACACACGTGCTGCAATTGTGGCCAAGCATTGTTTTTTACCAGGTTGTGTCAGAAACAGCTGTGCCAGAGGCACATGGAGTGCCAACAGATACTGTAAAACATTTTAGTCAGGAATCTTCTAGTTTTTGAAGTTCGCTGGAAAATACATAGAGCTGGTGCTGGGATGTTTTTAATCAAGATTCCCTGTTCACATTTGGGGTTTCTTCTTGCCAGTGAAGAAACCTATTATCAGCTGTGACTTCTATCTAAAAGTTTCTGAAAATTGTTTAGCAGAATTTGAGGACTAAAAGAAGGATGGTTAAAGTCATCTCCACAGCTCGTGCCAGGCTGGGCTCTAATCCAGTATTTTCTGGCAGAAGTGGGCACTTGTGCAGCTGAGAAATTGTTTCCTACCAGCCAGTTCTTCAGTTCAGTCATGTAGGTAGCCTCACAGGACAACTTTACTACTCTGAAAAGTTAGACAAGGTATCTTCAGAAAATAAGGAGCTTTTCTCTAAATCCTTACCTGAGCAGGTTCCCTTAACAGCCAGTCTGTGAAGAATGACAACCCAAACCTCTGCAGCGACTCCTCTCCTGCAGTGCAAGGCATCAGCATGATAGATGTCCTGCTAGGACAAAAACCAAGCACTGCAAAATCCTGTCTCAGCCAACTCCTGTGTTCCATCTTCCCTTCTGTGATACCAAAATTCAAGCTGTTCTTTCTCTCACCAGAGCACAGTGGGGTTATATACATTAACTGTAAGAAACAGAGGCATGATAACAGGGTTTGGAAAGCCCAGGAAAGTCTGATTTCCTACAGCTCAGTTGTAAATGCATCCCACCAATCTTCACTGCTGCTTTTAGGCAAATAGGAATTCTCAATTTCTTACATCTAGATACATTATGTTTATTACCTTGGTATTTTGCCCTTACCTAAATTCCCCAATGTATGTATTACTAACAGAGTTAATTAGCATGAGAATGGGTTTAGAGCAAGAAGAAATTATCTGACAGCACTGAAGATGGCAATGGTTTGTGTGCTATAAAACTTGAGAACTGCACTTCAGGGTGTGAATATTTCCACAAGAAAGCAATTACATTGATGAAAGCTGATCAGTAAAACAGCCTGAATAATTTGTGTATATGTGGGGAAAGGAGTTCAGAGATAGATGACTGGAGCAGGAATGCATATTACAGGAAGCAATTAGAAAAAGTTCTTTTTTTCCTCCTTTTTTATTTTAGTTCGATACTGAGCTACAGATTATTGCTGCTATGAAGAATGGACATGGAATCCAAGACTGAGTTTTCAAAAAGTAGTTAATTTAGCTAAAAAAAAAGAGCCTGGTGGACAAAACATAGCACAGTGTGATTCACTTTGTCTTCATTAACTCTCCTATGATTTGGCAACACTATAATGTCAGCATATTTCATGACTCGAGAAATAAAAACCAAATTATTTTGTCATCGCTGCTCCTGCCAAGAGACACATACCTCCTGCTCCTTCCCTAGACACCAGCACACTTCAGCTCTGCTCTGCTCAGGCAGCTCATAGCAAGGTCTGGCACACATGATCCCCATGAGGTGTGCCAAGGGCAGAAGCCAAAGTTGCAGAGAAAACACAGACCAGCTTTTCAAGGACAACCCTTAGGTAGGAAGCATCTTGGCATTGCATGGAGAGAGGTTTGGGGACAAAATCTGTGTGTCAATTGCTTCCTTTAGAATTACCAATAGGTTAACTAATGAATATCTATGCTAAATTTTTACATTTCTGGAGGACCACACATTGCACCCATCTGGATGGCAGCACTTTGCAGTCCCTGAGTCACTTCTTATAGGGATCAGCAGACCTAGGTGTGGGGGATTTTACCAGCTACAATGGGTGCACAGGGGAGAGGTCCAATTAGGAAATCTAAACCATGGAATTTTATTTCCTTAAAGGATGAACTATTTTCCTTAAATGATGAGAGACTGATGTTCATTTTTTTTTCCATGCAATAATGCAGCATGAACTGAATTCTGCACCATTTCATGTCCCCAGAATACATGGGTACCTGGCAAAAATAAATATACATCCAAAACATGCACAACAAAGATCCTGACCATGCAGCATCCAGTCCCAAGGACACCCACAGGTCTGGCTGTCCCTACTGACCCTTGGGTTTCTGTCATTTACTCATGGCCCTGGATCCCATGTTAGTCCCCCCAGCCCATCAGCCCCTGCCCCAGAAACACCATAGCTGGGCTGTTCTCCTGTTGCCCAGTGCAGAGCAGAGCCACATCCTGGCCTGCCCTTGGCCCACCCTCATCCTCGGGGAGGTGCCTGATGCCACCCTGGTGCCTGATGTCACCCTGGTGCCTGATGTCACCCTGGTGCCTGATGCCACCCTGATGCCTGGTGTCCTGCTCCTGGCAGGGTAGTGGGACAGGCTCCAGCTGCCCAGCTCTGCCTGACTGTCCCATGGGAGCCTTGCTCCACTGACCCTCACAGGGCCCTGATATTCAGCTTGACAGAGTGTAAACGCTGCCTTTAATTTGAGGAATGTGTCTGTCCATTTTAAAAATGAGCAATACTTATCTATTTATTTTTTAATTCATGCAATTTAAAGTGCTTTAAAAGTATTTACCATGTGGTCAATAATTCATAGGAAAATTCAAATGAGTTAGGGGACAACATTGCATCAAAAGCCAATGACGCTGTTTTCCAAAATATCAGTCAAGGATATACTCAGTGATAGGGAGATGAAGTAGAATTACCCAAAATAATGTGGTAGGCTAACAGCAAGGTCTGTTATTGAAATAAAATATTCCAATATCCAGATGTCTACCAGATGCTATTTCTACTTCATCATGGTTAACTAAGAACACTAGCAGAAGAATTAAAACTAATGAGAGTAAAACAAACAAAAAAAATCTTCCCAATTTTAATTCAAGAGGCTACTCAGAAAGTCTTTGAGTGAGTGATAACATATACCCTTCTACTATAGAAATTTACCTTATAAGAATCTTCTTCATCTTAAACAATAATGGCCAAATTTGATTTCACTGATGATAGTGAAAACACAGAAATCTTCCACTAAGCTGAGTGGAATTCACCACATACACCTAGACCTAAAATCAACAACTAGGGAGAGGTTTCATGTGGATACGCATCATGTCTACAGTATAAATAACACATGGAGCACAGAAATTGTATGTTTCAAAAACTATGGAGAAAAGAAAGAGGATGTGACATGTCTGGGAAAGTATACTCAAAACAAGACCAAAAAGAAAAAAAAAAAAAGAAGGCACTGTTTGAAGCTGCAAAAGTATACTGAAGGTGAGTTACATTTTATTTTATTTCATTAAAATATATTTTAGAAACATACTGTGTAAAAGAATTAGGATTCTCAATAATTTATTATTTACATTAACATTCTGTTTGACTGTTATTCTACAGATAGAAATGAAAAGTCTGCAGAAGGGAGTTGTTTCGGCTTCTTCAGGACCAAGCAAGCCTCTTGTCCAAGAAACACATCCAAAAATGCATTTCTTTCCATTTCAGTCCCTTCAAAATAATATTTGCAAACAGATGGCAAAAAGCTCAATGAAAGGTCATGCTGGTGAGTGTTGAGCACTCACAGTGAGAGCTGGGAATTCAGGGTGTTCTGCAAAGGACAGACCCCGAGGAGACATTAACATTGCACTACTCAACAGTCAAGAGCTGCAGGGTACAATCCCACTTTTGCTCCCACTGTCCTATTTCTGCTGAAATCCATGGCATTACATAACAAGGAGGCCTGAACTTGACCCCTCCAGGCAGATCTCAGAAAGCTGGACAAATTCCTTGAGACAGGGTGGCAGTGGAGAGATTGTTTTTCCTACCACTGTAGGCACACTGCAGCTTATTCTTTTTCAGTCCAAACATAACATAAATATCAGTGTCTTCCTTCCCATCCTCTGGGAAGAAATATGCATAGGGAATTATCTCTCTGATGTAAACATCTGTAAGCACCATTCACATATGCTGGTCCACATGAAAAGAAAAAATGTTATCAAAGTGCCTGCCTTGGCCTTGACCCTTCTTAGTGGAGCAGCTCAGCTTTCCCGTCAGCTTTCCAGACTTCCAAAATCATCTGGGTACCCAAGCATCATGCACAGCTCATCGCAGTGCCAGTTGCTGTCTGCTTTACTATTCCAGGAAAGAGCAGTCGCCCTTTCAGCAATTATACAAAAGCCCATGATTAAAAGAAGTAAAGCTGTCAGCTCGTGTGCTCTGTTTCCTGGAGGCACTCAATGGTATTTCTGACATCTCGTGTAAGGCACCAATCATCCGGTAGCTGAGCAAAAAAGCGACCCACGAGACCTCCATTAAGCAATTGCAGAGGGAACTGACAAAATTCAGCTGGTTTGCTTGTCTTCTTGCTTACAAAGCATAAAAAGTGTGGTCACACCATCCGAGGAAGTTTATGGTGGTATCCTAAAAGGGGAACTCAACTTGCACCACAAGGAGCACGGGTGACTTGTGCCTGCTTCAGCACAAGTTTCGGACAGCTGCGTCATGGTGGCAATTCCCACAGACATAGCAGAGATTTCCTTGATCCCCAGGAAGCCTCTGCTGCCTTGCTTTCACAGAAACTGAGTTTGTTGTCAGCAGCAAAGCAGATATCTCCTCACAAGATGCCTCCATAACACACAACACACTTATAAAACCAGCTTTGTGGTGCTCTTGCTGAAGCTTCCCTGCTGTTGATCTTGTCTGCACAACCTTATTCACAGAGATGCAATGCCAGAGATAGCAGAACCTATGGACAAAGAGGTTGGCTGGATGCTGGCTGACTGCACCCCTGAGCAGCCTCAGTCCAGAATGTCAGTCTCAAATGGGACCAGGTGGTAGTATGTCAAATTGGTGACATAAGCTGTTGGATCATCACTGTCTTCCAGCTCTGAGGCAAAGTCACTAACACTTTCAAACCTAAGGAGAGATGAAAAAAAAAATACCAAAAGGCATTAAGTAATTTAGAAAATTAAAGGAATTGGAAAAAAGATACTAAGGGAGTGGGAGAAGCACTTGGAGCTGATTTCATTCACATCTCCTTCATCTCCTATACTCATGTGTTTATGACTAAACTATGGGCCAGTGAGACCCATGACGCATGAAAGTAAGTTATCTTGTCACCCCTGACTTTCAAAGCTACAAGGGAGGGAGGGAGGAAGGCAGGCAGGCAGGCGGGAAGGAAGGAAGGGTGAATCGTGCAGTTGAAGTCCACATCCTTCTATTTTGTTCCCACAGCATATGTGAACAACACATGATGCCTCAGTTCTCACACAAAAGTGAAAAAAGAAACTGCCTTTGTTTTACATCTGAATTTGGACTCGCAGACTTTCCCTTCACAGGCACCTTCTCTGGATTAGGCTTTTGTAAGAGACCAAGTGTCTAACATAGGTAGGAAAAAATGACTACAGTGTCCTTATTTGAGAGTCTAGCTGTCCTTTCCATGGTACGAGGTTTAGATTTTGACAATCAAAGAATCTACAAATATAAAAAGATTCCCAAATTTAGTTTCACTTGTTTTGGTATTTTCCTCCCCACTTCCCAACACCTGTTTCATAACCTGCACTTTTGCAAGAATTACCTACTGTCTCATACCAACTCTCAAGCAGAAGGCATCAAGCTGTTAAAAACCTACACTTCTCTCAGTTACACATATTCCCATTCCAGGAAGGCCTGAATTTCTGTGGCAAGAAACATTATCTTCTTCCTAGATAGCCTAGCAGACAAAGACAGTAACTGCAGGCCAAGGATTAAATTTCAGTTTTAGAATCCCTCAGTTCTAAAAAGGGGCATGAAAAACTGTTAAGTTTCTTTTTCTCAAACTCTTGTCTTTAATATTTTGAAAGAAATTTCATTCACTATGATAGAGTGAGAAATAAAAGGAAGTAGAAACTGAAAAATTACACAAGATGGAAAAAGAAATTCTAACCTAGCCCTCATTTTAGCATGTGTCTCTAACACCTTTATCAGCCTACTGCAGCTCTCTGAATGGCAGATAAACAGATGAGCTTTAGAATAATTAATATTTAAAACTGCATCTCATCTACACATGAACATAATTAGACTCTTCAGATAAGTGAAACTGTGGACATCCCTCTAACCACACCCTAGAGGGTGACCTAAGAGTTGAGTATTTCAGAGGACCTGAAGAAGAGTGGTAGGGTAAACAAACAGGTGAGTCTCCCACTCCATCTCTTCCCAAAACTTTATTTAGAAGTATCATAGGTTACTGGATGGCCTGGTCTATACATCCTGCAATGTATGGCCACAGTTCTGGTTTTTTCCATACTCCTTCCTGCTTCTTCTCATATATTTTTTAACTATGAGAGCCAAAATAGAGAAACTAATGGATTTTTTTTTGAGCGGAAACTAATGGATTTTCTCCCGCGGTACTGTGGCTTTGCTCTTCACTTTAAATGAAACAGCAATGAGACTGAACTTGGAATGTTTATCACCCTCATTCCTCTAGTCCCTCCAGGCTGTTTACTTGCCTGCGTGTGTGGGAATGTGTGCACAAGGGAGTTGACTTGGTATCTTGAAAATACTTTACAGATTACGCTGTGCTGTCTTATGGACTGCAAGTGATCCAGAAACAACAGATTATGAAATACCAGTGGGGCAGATAGAGTGAAGGAAGTGGAAGAGGAGTCAAGGAGGTTATTCAGATTCTGCTCTCTTTCTCTTATCAGCATAAAGCTACATTTTTACATCGGAAAGGTCCCACAGATTTTGTGGTTGTCCAGCCTCACTGATAGGTAGCTACAAGCAGAAACTGAGGTGCACAGCAGTGGAAGTCAGATGCTGTGGTTAAGCAGAAGGCTTTTCTCACCACCAAAAATGAAGTGTGTGCACAGCAGTCTGTAAAGCACCACTCCAGAGTGCTCACACAAAACCAAACTCAATAAACCAGGACTGTTTAATAGAGTCAGAAGCTGCATACAACACCAACAGTCAAAATGCTTTTAAGCTGTAACCAATAGGTTTTTCTCTCAAAATAAATTCTGCAACTCTACTATGGACCTTCAGATTCCTAAATGCCCAAACTGCTGCCCTTAATTTTTTTTCTCTAAGTACCTTGACAGACACACTGTCTTTTGCAAGAGCCTACCTCTTGTGTTGTAAGACAAAATTTTTTACCATTTTAACCTCTGTTAATGCATTAGATTTGCTACTCAGATTCACCAGGAAGAAGAGGAAACAAAATAGAAGCTTATGGTTTGGACAGACTTGCTAGGTAAAAAACTGGTGGCTGGGCGCTAAGAGTGAGGGATGGTGAATGGAGTTAAATCTATTTGGTAGCCTTTCACAAGCAGTGTTTTTCTGGGCTCAGTCAGGGGACAGCCCTGTTGAGTATCTTGATCAATGGTCTGAACATGGGGATCAAGTGCACCCTCTGCCAGTTTGCAGATGATACCAAGCTGAGTGGGAATGCCAATGTGCCGGAGGATAGGAAGGTTCTCCCAGAGGGATCTGGACAGGCTGGATTGATCAGCTGAAGCCAATTGTCTGAGCTCCAACAAGACCAAATGCTGAGTCCTGCACTTTCACCACAACAAGTGACCCCATGCAGAGCTATGGGTTTAGGGTAGAGTGGCTGTAAAACTGCCTGGCAAAAAATGACCTGGAGGTGCTGGTCACCAGCAGCTGAACAGGAACCAGAGTGTGCCCAAGTGGCCAAGAAGGCCAATGGATCCTGGCTTGCACCAGAAATAGTGACCACTGGGACCAGGGATTGTCCCCCTGTACCCAGCACTGCTGAAGGAGCACCTTGAATCCTGTGTCCAGCTCTGGGCCTCTCACAGCAAGAGGGACTTTGAGGTGCTGGAGCACATCCAGAGAGGGGCAACAGAGCTGGTGAAAGATCTGCAGCACAAATCTGATGAGAATTGACTAAGGGGACTAGGGCTGTTTAGCCTGGAGAAGAGGAGGCTCAGGGGAGACCTCACTGCTCTCTACAACTGCCTGAAAGGAGAGTAGCCAGGTGCAGGGTTGGACTCTGCTCCAGGTAACAAGTGACAGGGCAACAAAAAGGGCCTTGAGTTCTACTGGGGAAAGTTTAGATTAGATATTAGAAAAAATTTCTTGACTGAAAGGGTTATCAAGCATTGGAGCAAGCTGCCCATGGAAGTGGTTGAATCACCACCACTGGAAGTATTTAAAAGACGTACATATCACAGAATCATAGAATGGTTTGTTTTGGAAGGGACCTCAAAGATCATCTAGTTCCATCCCTCCTGCCATGGGTGGGGATACCTTCCACTAGGTCAGTTTACTCAGACTCCCATCCAGCCTGATTCTCAATGCCTCCAGGGATGGGGAATACACAACCTGAGGAACTTGTGTCAGTATCTCACAACCCTTATCTAAATATTTTCTTCTTAATAACTAATCTAAACCTACTCTCCTCCAGCTTAAGGCCACTCCCCTTATCCTATCATATGCACCCATGTAAATACATGCAGATGCTCTACATCTCTCTTGCAGGCCTCCTTCAGGTACTGGAATGTATTTGCCAAAAAGGCAGTTTATCCAATGCCACAGACTCTGCTGCTGGCCTGGAAGACAGAAGTGCTAACAGTCTTTGCAGAGAAAGCTACCTCTGTAACAAAACCAAATCATGAGCTCAAATGCATTTATTTACCATCTTTTTCTTTCAAAAGGACTTCAGACTACACTCCAAGAACCACACACAAAAGGACCAGTTTTGCCACATGGATGCTGAGCACACTGGCTTCACCACAGTTTGCAACAATATGGTGTACTGCCAACTAAAATCAGAGAGAAAATGAAGGAAGCAGGAAAGACCTACTTCAGAACAACAGAGTAAGCAACTGCAACTTTGAAAAGTGCTGTGGTTTCTTTACCAACAAGTATGAGACTTTTCAGGTGATGGATCACTGGGCAGGTAGCTCCACAGGCTACACGGCTAACCAGTATAGGGAATGAGCTGAAGTTTCAAGCACTTCTACCTAAAAAATACAGGTTTGCTCTGCAAAATGTCTCTTTCAAGTCCATCAGCAGCCAAAACCCAGAAGTCATAAAGAGTTTAATGCAGCTAAAAGGAAAAAAAATTCCCATCTGAGGATATCAAGTCCGCAAGGAATTAACTCTGATTTCAGGGTAGAACACACCATAAATCCAGTTTTACTGAAACTGAAAGAGAGCAGCATAGGATTTGAAAAATATTAAAGTTTCCTTTCTGGGACAAAAACATACATTTAAACCAACAGTATAGAAAATCTCTGCTTTTGAAAAAGGTTCAATTTTTAAAAAACAGCTTTGCTACACTGGTTCCACTATCTCCTGGCTATTATGTCTTGACTGTAAAATACAGCTGCAGGATTGGAAAATTTAGGGCACCATATAAAACACACATTCAAAATTTATTAACTTTTTGACTCTTCACATCCTTTGGAAAGTTAAACTAAGTTAGGCTGCACAAAGTCAGGGTTTTACCCTTGATGCATTTCTTCCACCAGTTTATGGGAAACCATACCTATCATTCAGTTTTTATCACATTAGTATTTTCTGATCTTAACAGTCTCTGACTTCAATGGGATGACACTTAGATGATTGTAGTTTCTTATCCCAGGCTGGTAAGTTTTGCTTGGGCTGGAGAACATTTTTAAAATCCATACTAGGTATAAATATTTTCTTCATATTAAAAAAAAATCAAAGTAAGGCAGGAAAAGGCTTTCTTTGGTAATTTTCTCCTATAATGCGTCACTCTCAGTACAAAGAGTGATCCACTGTGAACTATAGCAATTTTAATTTCCAGGTATTGGCCTTACAGAATTACCTCTAGTGTGCCATTTAAGCCTCATTATTACAAGCTTATAAGCTTAAATGCTGTTAGCAAGGTCAGGGTTCAAAACACTAAGAGATAAGTTAATGAAAAGACTTCAAGAAATTAGACTCGAGCCAGACATACTCTCCAGCCCCTGACAAAATGTTGCCAAGCTCTAAACCTTGTTACAGAGTGGCATTTCAAATTTGACAAGACAGATCACTGCATTCAAAGATAAAGGCTCCATAAGTCTTTTAGTATTCTCTTTCCTTCATTTGACTGGTCAAATGAAAAAGTTTCTCATCTGAAGTACTAGAATGATTCACTACCTGTGGTTCATTGGAATATCAATCACCTGATATGACAGAAATCTGTAGAAGCATATTTCCATCGATATCCATCTGTGAATACATTCACTGACTTAAGACCCACATGAATCACAGAATGGTTGGGGTTGGAATGGACCTCTGGAGGTCATTCACTCCAACCTTCTGACAAGACAGGGTCACTCAGCCAGGGCACGTGACACAGGAACATGTCTAGGTGGGTTCGGAATTCCTCCAGAGAGGGAGACTCCATGACCTCCCTAGGCAGCCTGTTCCAGTGCTCTGCCATCCTCAACATACAGAAGTTCTTCCTTGTGTTGAGATGGAACTCCTTGTGCTCTAATTTATGGCCATAGAAGCCCTTCTGGTTACAAGTTTCTGACCCCAGAATACCTATATGCATTAGGAAGCAGAATTTTCCAATCAAATCAGTCTAACTTGCGTTTTCCCTAAGGATATACACATGCTACAACAAGTCCCAGCTAAGCAGCTGTTGACCTTTGTTCAATTACTTTCAGGACGTGTTCCCCTCTGAGGGCAGTATTTTGCTTCCCAAGCATTCTACTATCCTTTGCAACAGGATATGCCGTTTGTTAGGCTGGTTGAGTTTCCAAGTTTGGGCTCAAACCAGCTCTAACCACAGTCATGAGAGAAAGAAATAATTCTGTTCTCCCTTTGCAGCACCCCTTCGGTAACCTCAGTTCTTTTTTCCTATACAGAGGATTGATCACTATGCGGTCAATCATTCTCCCATTTTATCCACTTTAACAGGAAATTGCTGTGAAGTGCTAGCAATCAGGCCCAGTAACCTTTACCCAGTCAGGATGACAGCTGTACCAGTCTTGCTCTTAGACAGACAATAACATTTTGCTAGGGGAGTTGGAAAGCTACAGTGAAGGTGATAGCATTTCTCTTGCTCAAACTCCACTTACAAATGTTCTGCTGAATCTACATCCAGGTGCTTCTCTTTTCCATTAGGTATACTGTGGTCAATGACTATTGTTTCAGTGTTGGCTAAACAGAATCCATTTGATCTCATTATTTCTGTTGGGAGAAGAAAGAAAACAAGATTTAAAAAAAAAGCTGGAAAACAACTGTGTATCAGATGTAATTGTCATGGCTATGAACTGGGATGTGTCCATGACATTGAAAATCTGCACAGGAAAGCAGGAATGAAGAGTTGGTTTCACAGCTTCATACATCTGCAAACTGATTGTGCTCAAGCAATTCTATTCACTTAACCAATTCATGACACAAAGCATCTGAAGCAACTACCACTGCCAAATCATAATTGTATTTTTCTTAGACATTCCTAGGCTTAGGCAAAAAACAAAAAAGACATAAAAATGGAAATGAAAAGTGACCTTACAAGCTAATTCAACCACTAACTCTAAGTTGTGTAAAAACTTGTGTGCATGTTTTACACTGCCCTTGATACTGCTTATTTGTTTCTGTGCTAGAAGCCTCTAATACAGAATATCTAAAACTTACACCTAATTCCACTGACTTACTACCATGGGGAGAATTGATAACTAAAAAGCAGTATTTAATGCGAATGAGAAGTTAATCCATATCTGTGCTCTATCGAAAATCAAACTAGGCAAGTCACAAGGATTCCTTTCGGTCACACAATTTTAGATGAAGCTAGGACCAACACAAAATAAATGCACTTTTCAAAAAAAACCAGCACTGACTTAAGTAGGATAACTCTTGATCTGCCTTAAGACACTATGACCCTGTGTTATAGATTTGCGTTATCAGCACAACAAAAAATAAACTAGTCTGTGGTACAAAATATGGTAGGCAGAAAGCACACCAACATATTTCATCTATATATACAGTTCAAGCAATGAACAGGAAATGAGGCATGAGAGAGGAGGTATTTTTTTTTTAACATTACATGCTCCTGCACTAAGGTAAAGCCAATACTCAGTTCCGTATTTTTGTTGAGGCTCATCTTTGACTTTCATTCCCTATTCTACTGCAGCTCACTTCAGCAGAATACATTTGGGGGTTGTGAAAATACTGAACCCCAGCAGAATCACATTTCACATGACTCATCTTGAGCCAGCATTGTATGATTGTAAAATAAGATTTACACCATAAATTCAAATTCAGCTTTTATCTTAGATGGCAGCCACTTTCTCTCTTTTCCATCACCTACCACTCTGAGCAGGACCATGCGGGAGACTGTTTTTTCAGAGAACACAAAACATTTTTGCCTGCTTTTCCATGACTGCAAGCCAGGTAGAAAGCTGCACTATAAGTAACAGAAATGTCAATATTTTCCTAGTGTCCTTGACTTGACCTAAGAGTTACAGCATTTCACTGCTGCATGAACTGTTTTACCCATTATCATTTACTGCCATCTACTGACAGCACTGCCAGACAATGAACCATTTTATTGTGCAACACCCAGATGAGGCAAATATCAATTAACATCAAATTTCCAGCTATGTTCTAAGCATTAATGGCAGCAATCACTTGAATGATGAAATTAATTACAAGATGCTTCTGCATAGCTGCATAGGTAGGAGAATTAGTTAGTTACGTATGACTTGTCACTACCAACAATAATCTAGAATTAAAACATGCTATTATTCAGCTGAGATAGTTTTGTTAGTACCAAAGAAAATTTATACCAGTTCCTTGCCACATTATAAACCTTAGAGACTATGTAGTATTTCACTTCAATTAATTGTAAATAAGCTCTTCTGGTGACACAAAATCAGGAGTCGGCACTAGGTTTAAATAAAGTGTTTCAGTATAGAAATACAAAACCGGGCACACCAGAAGCTCACAGACCTTTTGACAACAGTCAGTAGCAGATGAAGAAGGGAAAGGCTAAAAGAATAGGCAGGGATAGGCTCTCCACTTTGCCCACTAGCAATCTGTGGTTCAGAACTTTCTGTGTCTCCACCTGTGACAGGTTTCAATGTACTTTTCCTCCACTTCCATGTCTCATTCCCTTTTGAAGTCACTTTGGCTTTCAGTTCCACCATATCCTATGACAGTGAGTTCCACTCCTTAACTATGCTTTGTATGGAAACAAAATAATATTATAACCTTTCTTTTGTTTGTTTAAAGCCTGTTGTCTGTCAATGATATTGGATAACCTATAGCTCTTGTTTCATAAGAAGTACAGGGTCATTGACCTCCTTGTATTCACAGCTTTGTAGACTTCCATCATACCAGTCTGCCATCTCTGCTCACAGGTGAAGGTCTCCTTCTTTAATTAACCCCTTTCTTAGAGATGCTGTTCAACAACTTGAATCCTCACAGTTTTTTTGTATAATTTTAAATTCTGTAATAACCTGAGATGAAGAAACCAAAATTGTGGATATTGTACTTAAGAGAGGGCTATGCTCCTCTCCTGTTTCCTTCTCCTTTCCTAATAATACCTAATATTTTCACTGCTGATATTGCCCATTGCTTGGCACCAAGATTACCCTTTGAAAGAACTGTATAAAAAGCCTCAAAATCTCCTAAGTGCTAACAGCACTATCATATGTGATGACATGCAGTAAGGACTGGATTTTACTCACATTCACTGCTTTGCATTTGTCAGCCTCCCATTTCACCTGCTACTTTATTGCCTGAATTTACCTTGCACAGTATATCAAGGAAAATTATGTGTTCCATATCACAAAGCACTATTGAGAACTACCATTTTGAATTGTTGATGCAGAAATAATAATGGAAACAGCAAATGAAGTAATTTTCATTCTTCAATTCTTGTGTAAACTGCAGGTAGTTAACAATTCTTACCTGATATTTTAACTGGACTTTGAAAGCTTGGCTGAATTTTATGGACATTGTCATTTTTTAGAACTTGGTCCAAAGGAGATCTCTCAAAGAACGTGAGGACAACTTCAGACCTTGAATACTTAAAACGAGAGAAATAAAAACAGACACCCATTTTTAACCAGTAGTTTGCTTTGTCCCTCTTCTCTATTTCCATCCCTTCATAGTATGACAGAAAGACTTATTACAAGTGACAGCTTGGAGGCATCATTACACAGTTTTGGCACTCAGCATTTCTCCAAGTTACTCAATAAATTGCTGCTCCTTTCAGAGTTTGGCAAAGCCCATCACATTCTAATCTGCATGAGAGTGCATGTCACCATGAAGGAGGAGTCAAGCTGGGCTAAATTAGAACTTGGCTTACTTACCTTCCAGGGCATGTTTATAATAGTCTTCAGAAGCTTTTCCACTTCATTAAGTCTGGCTTCTATATCATGGGCTTCTTTTATTGTGATGAGCCCTAGAAACAAAGTCAACAGATCATAAATGTAAACAAAAGCACACCTATGCACATTTTAGCAGCCAGAAGCAGCCCCTCAGGAAGATGTGGAACAACCTCAAATATGCCTTCCAGAAATGTATTTTAAACCAGCTGATGATACAATGTGCACCCCAAACTGAGGTGGGTGTAGTTTACAAGCAGAGTTGCAAGCCTGACACAAACTCAGCTGTTTATGACCATATGTAGGAATTGCAAGACAAGCAGAAGTAGAACCACCTACTCCTTCACCCCCAGTTTCACTACACAGCATTCCCAGCAGTGATAGTTAAACAGCTCACTTTCTGCTTCCAAGAAGAATTATTCATCCTTTTTTTTCTGTAAATAAAAAGCAAAAGAAAACCCAAGAAAACCAAGACACATCCTACAGATAAGAGGGGGGAAAGTAAACACAAGCTAAACAAAAGGCTTTGAGTGCAGTTTTGTATTTCTCTGACTGTAAGCCCCACTGAGTCGTCCAAGGAAAATTTGTCAGTATCATGTTTTTCAAGTGCAAGACAACTGTTAGGTTTTTTTTTTATCTATTCAGTCACTGAATTATTATAGTGCTGCAGAAGGGATTAAGACTGAAATTTCACTGCCCAATATCCAGAAAGATACATTACAATGCAATATTGAATTGCTTGGTATGGTGATCTCAAAACACTAATACCATATTTCGTATGTATAACCTGCAGGACATCTCTAACTTTCCCCTCCTCCAGCAGACTGAAGGAAATACAGCACAGTTTAGATGCATGTACAGCGCATATGAGGAGAAGTAAATCCCAAAATCCCACATCCCTCTAGTGGGCCTTTTATTGCTGATATTTGCAACCTACTTTTTCTAATAAAATAATCATTTAACCTCTACATTTGTGCATCTTTTCCAATGAGCAGGACACACCCATGAAAATGAAATACCTAAGAGAAATTATTAAATATAAGAAGCCACAATAAACAAACAAACAAACAAAACCCAAACAAAAAGCTGGAACAGGAAAAGACACAATAAATCAGAACCATCAAAATTAAAAATCTGCAAAGCAGTTTGTGAGATAGCACTTCAATATACTACATTGTGTTAAATTAAGTGTATCTGCATCTTCCTATTCACAAGACAAACATAGAGCCGTCAAACATGCAGAGTGTGGGAACAGCATCCAAAACAGCTCCAGACTGCACCAGTCCTTGTTATTTGCTACCAATGAGATACAATCCCACAGAAACTTTCCAGACAAAAGTGTGACTTGGAAGCTGTCAGCTCTCCTCCAGTTACAGCTCTAAATAAAACAGAGATTGTCTCCAAAGCAACTGGGTTTACTTGACAGTTGTCCCACAAAAGTGCCCTGCTTGTATAAGCCTTCCTCTTGCCCAACAGTCCTTCATTTTGCCTGTTTTTCCAGCATGGCTATCGCCTCACCCCAGTACAACTCGCCCCTCTCCTGACAGCAGGGCAATGCACATCAGCAGCCATATAAGGGAGGTGCTGTGTGTCTTGCTTTAGCTGGGGTACACTACAGTCAGGTAGCTTTGCCTGGAAATTCTCTGAAAGGCTGTGAATAAACTCATCTGTATGGGCCCACAGATTGCATACTAGCTGGGCTGTGCTTGGCATTACAGACCTGAATTGCAGACCAGCACCCTCCATTGTCCTAACTACAGGGTGCAGGCCTGGGTGGATCTGCTTTGCCCCTCCACCAACATGTTCCCATCTCACATTTGGATCAAGTTCAAATTTTTCAATGAATGGGCTGTCATCTTCCCTAAAAGAAAGAAAAAGCTGCCAATGGTCCCACAGCTCAGACACCCATCCATGATGCTAGAAACACGCTGCTGGCCCTGCTGCAGCCCACATCAGAGAAAACAGAGCCAGCCACCCTGGTGCTAGCTGCCATGGGGTGCCTCCACTTCTCCTGCCAGTCTTGATCCACTCTGCATGAACACTGATACAGTCAGAGCAGAGACTGCCCAGCTGTGGCTCCCACCTCATTGCCGACCCACCAGGGATTCAGCACTCAGCTGCTGCCTCTCAAATCTGCCCTTGATCTCAGAGCCTTTCCCAGATAAGCATGCACTGTTGGAACTAGTATTTTACCAGGAAGAGGGATACTTTCAAACAAATGGAGATATTCAGACTGGAAGGGGGAGAAAAGAAAAAGAAAAAGAAAAAGAAAAAGAAAAAGAAAAAGAAAAAGAAAAAGAAAAAGAAAAAGAAAAAGAAAAAGAAAAAGAAAATCCAAAACCACCTCGGCAACAACCCTGAGCATTCATCCTATGAGGAAAACCAGCCAAGCGGTCAGGATTTCTCTCATTAGTAATCAGGGAAAGCATCTGCAGCTCCACATGGTCTTTTTATGCTTCTCCAAGAAGTCAGACAAGGCTGTCAGCCTGTTGCACTGTCACAGATCACCCCGTGGGAGGTTTTACAGCTTCTTGCATTCACAAGGAATTTCCAGCCCTGGTATATTATCTCTTGGAAAGACACCAGCCATGCAAACCCACACTCCAACCTGGAAACTGGCACAGAAAACTTGTAACATCTGACACTGTAAAAACTGTTTCTTCCTGAAGCTTTCAGTAATATCAAAACCAAAAAGCAGACAGCATAGGAAGGAGGGTGATACATCTGCCTGGACAGCTTCCTATATATGTGCTCAATGATTGCAGATGTGCAGATTTGGGGTGTAACACTGCTGACCTTAAATGAATTCCCTATACAGGGAGTTCAATTTGGCCAGGCTAAAGCCTTTCTTTTCATACATCTGCAAACAAACAGAAACCACTTGACTGGCCTTATACACTTATATTTAAACCTGTAATTTCTTCTGCAATTGCCATAAAGTTTGTAAGACCCTTATTTATCCTAATTCTACAAGTCTCTGTTTTTAAAAGTTAGCAGATGCTCTTGTGGTTTTCAGTTAGTCATAGACCATGATCCCATAATCTGAGAGACTGCTCCCAACCCCACAGCCATGCTAACCAGAGCAAGGCACTACCTGCCCAAGCAGCCAGAAGGAGTGGAGGTTCTGGTCCTTCCTTTCCATCCCTTTCAGCACTCTCTGGTTGCTGTCATCAACCCCAGCACCTACGTGCAGGAGGAACACTGGAGTGTCACAAGGTAAAGTCTCTGGTGTCAACACTGGCTTAAGGTGCTCTCACCCTCCCCTGCACCTCACTTCCTCTCCCACACCACAACACAGAGCTGCTTCTGTTTTGCCAGCACAATTAGGTGAGCAGCAGGGAATACCTCAAACCACTCCTGTCAAAGGCTTCAACTCAGGAAATCCCAGACTCCACAGAATAAGCAAGAGACTGCAGGCGAGGATGTCCCATCCAAGCTCCTTCCTCACCCAGGCACTATATTAAGTTTGAGCAGGAGTCAGAATTTGTGTAAAGAAGGGTCACAGAACTGCACCCAGGTTTCCAGGCTTATTCTTCACTTTGTGGGGGTTTCTCCTATGCCTGTCTTCTTTCTCCTATTTGGAAGATTTGTTGAGGCAGAAAGAAAGTGAAAAAAAGAAAACCAGAGACTGATGAAGGATCTTCAGACGCTGGAAACGCCTGAACAAACAGACACACAGACATGCCAGCTGACACTGCAGACAGAGCCCAGCACCCCCACCATTCATTAACCCTGACACAAATGCACCAAAATGTGGATGCATCTGAAGCATGTGGGACCCCCATGCCACATATTAAGCATCCATACAGCAGCTACAACATGTCCTGAGGCTGTTGTCTCTGCCCATGGGCCATAAATACATGTCTAGCCTGTATTTCCATCTGGGGCTTTTACTACCCAAGAACCCTTACTGTATTTGCTATAAAATAAAAACAAGATACCAGTAAAGCAGCCAGTATCCTGGAACCAGTTGTACTTTCTTCACTTGTTCAGTCATGCAACAGGGCTGAACTCAGAGCTGGGAAATTTGTTAGTGAGGTCATGGTGAAAGGCTGTTCTCATGCCTTTTTCTCAGCTCTGGCCCTTGTCTGGACTGCTAATGGAAAACATGCACAAACTCCTCCCAGGAAAACTTTGCTCTCTGTCTTGTTACCTATACTGTACTTGGACAATTAGCTCTTATTTCAAGTGATTTAAATGCTATAAACACCTATGTTTATATCGTTTGAGGTAAACTGGAGTCCCACCGGCTCCTTTTTTTTGCCACAAACCCTGCTTCCAAATACCAGAAACTTCTAAGATTCCTTCACCCTGCACACAGGGGTGCCAACAGGCTGGGTGACGGGAGGGATGAAACTGCCTAACCTAGTGTGGCACTCACCTGTGCCTGGGAGATTGCTTTATTTTTTATTACATAGTCAGTGACCTCATTCAAACCTTTTGACAGTTTCTCTGTCCCCTTCCAGACCAAGAGCCTGGGACAGAGCCCTTAAGACTGAAAAGGATTTGCTTTCAGTTTGAGACCAAGCGGAGGTAACAGCTCTGCGCAGAGCGACATGTGTCTGGAATAGCATGGCACAAGCAGCACTAGAAGCCTGCAGCTCTTCCTGCCCTGGGTCCCTGGTGCCGGGGCAGCTGCAGGAGGCTGGGAGAGCAGGCCAGCAGCTGTGTACCTGGCACGCTGGCTCACAGCGTGGGAGAGGGGCCCAGAGCTGCTCACAGGCAGGAAACGAGCTCAGCAGCAAAGGAGAGTGAACAGAGAGCCAACTCCTGGTGTAAACACACAAGCCTTGGTAGGGCTGTCCTATTACTGCTGTGTGAGCCACCAAATCTGCAACTCATGGCACTCTGAAAACCACAGATAATGCATCCTATGTTTCTACCACAGCAAGCAGGACAGGAATTGTAGCATGTGCTTCATGGCTCATAATGAAATCACAGAGCAGTCCTGTATTGTCTCAAAAATCCTCTAGTGCCTTCCAAGGAAGAGTAAGTTCCTGCCCAAGTCAAGTATGTATCTGTAATGTCATGTCCATGATGACACACAGAAGTCTGTTTTTCTGCAGATCTATAGGTC